GGGGGGAAGCGATGGACTATTCCACCAAGATTATTTTAAGTTTGGGATCTGACATTTTTCTAAATTGTAAGATTGAATTGGCCATGATTCCCCTACAACATCAAATATTGCCCTGCATCAGCCAACTTGTAAGGGGGATTCAACTTTGCTTAATTTAAAGACAAATATAAAAGGAAAAAAAGAAAATGAATTTTAACAACCTACAAACAGAAGGTATATTTCCAGATTCTACTTTACCCTTTCATTTGTCCTTCATCGCATGCTAGCTTCCGCAGTCATTACAAAATCATCAATGCTGAACTACTGGTCTGAAAGTCTGAAACACACTGTTCAACTTGACTTTTTCTGATTTTCCAGCTCTAAAGGAATAGAGTCATTGAATTACAGAATCTGGAGGGTCGATGTCAATTGTAAAAGATGAATCACCAAGATAAGCATTCAGTTTCCGTTGTCAAAGATGTATAAATGTCTGATTGTTGATTGCTGTGATCAACAAAGTCAACGAGTAATTTGATATCCCTGAACTCCCTCGGTATTATTAGCTGCCAGCTAACTTTCACATCAGATTAAGGAAAAACCACCCGCAAACGGAAGACAAGCATATAATGCCATTCAGACTAACCACTCACGACCCGCAAACATAGGCCTCATCCCACGTGATCGCTATAGTGGCCACATATGCGTCTGACATGGAAGACAGTTTCACAACTCACAATGAGCATTTGAATTAGTATACTAGTTCTTGCATGTTCATTAGAGCTCAACACAGCCTGCAGAAATCGTCTTGCAAACTTTACATGGCATGCGGTTGGAGCAGATTCTTCAAGTCAAACTCTATCAGGACTTACATGCTCTTACAAACTGCCTAATAAGTAGAAACCCGAACATCTTGGGTTTCAAAGCATTTTTAGACTATAGGTAAGGACAGGTTAAAAATGATTTGAAATCTACAATCTATAGTGTCCCATAATGACATATGCACAAAGTGATGGTTTTATATCCTCATTTAGTTATCCTGGTTATTGGTGCTTGTCTCAACATCTTCTGCTACATGGTAAGTGGAGAGAAAGAAGAGACCCTGATTCTTCTGCAGGAACCTGCATGACAAGATGCCTTTTACCTATAAGCCTTAATACGAACAAACCATGGGATCAGTAAAACCTAGGCTAACAATATAAATAACTGGCAGATTTAAAGATATTTTATTGACCTCAGATGAAATCAGCAACAATGTAGATGAATGTGGTAACTAAAAAACTTGATCAACTTTAACTTTCCCATTCAGTTATCTTGTGTCTTGACAATGATTATATTGGAACTTATGTAACAGAATTCTCAAGCCTAGTGAAAAAGAAGAAAGGCAAAATTTCAATATGCAGATTTTATCATGCTTCCATAACCGTAAACAGATGAATAGTAGAATCCATACTTGAGAAAGTCAACTAATTTTTGCTGCAGTTCCAACAGTGTCTCCTCTTCAATGTTTGCATAGAACAATAACTCAGGCAACTTAACTGCAAATACCAAAAGCTAAATTAGCAGCATGAATTTTCAAATAGCAAACACTGGATACAATCCATTAAGCTTAGATATAATTCTCAGAGAAAGTTAGTGAACTTGTCTCAAAATGCAGGATAGGCATACCAAAGAGGCGTAGTAGATGTTCAGCCCCATATACAGAGGAGGGGGAGGTATCGTCTCCAACTGCATCTTCATACTGTTGGCGCTCACTTTTGTATAAAAGCATCACTGGCAATGCTTTGTCAAAGTAGCATTGTATCCCTTTAAGAATTTCTTTAAGGGAATCAGCCACCCTGTATCCAACAGTTATGTATTCAAGAAATAAAGATTGAGAATATAAAAAATCAATACTCAGCAAATTAGTAAACAAAGTCCCCTATGTGGCTCAATTGGACAGATACAGACCAGAAAGACCTTACTTAGGTATCTTAACTAAAAAGGAAAGCTGAGAGCATGAACTTACATGCCATCTTTCTTAGATCTATAATCAAGATAATTCTTCAAAATCTCGTCCACATTTGGATTTCGTGGTAGTTTAACAAGCTGCATGGGTCAACAGAATTAAGGCAAGCACTTAACAATGATATCAATCAACAACGGAATAAAAAAGTATGAAAGTAATATGCAATTCATATTTGGGGATGTTATTACAATGCAAATAATTCAATAGGCAATATCTTGATTTAAGAAACAACGGAAGTTTCAATGAAAGTAAGAGCAAGATATTCCTACCTTTCCCAGATGAGTAATAAATTCACAATCATCAACAAGCTGCTTCTTTAGTGTAGGTGGAATTTGAAGATTCACAAGCTTCTCCGAAGGTACAGCACCCTTTTCCTAACAGGTAAAATTAATTAAGGAAAAAAAAATTTGAAAACAGACAAAGGACTATCACCAAATTTGTCCAACTTTTCTGTTTCAGTAACAACACCTAACTGAACAGCTCTCTCAATCCCCATCCCCAGAGCTACCAATTTGGCCAAACCAAAGAGAAAAGCAGATTAAAATCTTCAGCTTATCTTGAGAGTTACATATAATGCCAAGTTATACAGACAACAGGGCATACCTTAATGACAGAGTCAGCCTTTCGCTTTTTGCCCCTTGGAACTGTTTGTATAAACAAAGAGAATAACTTCATGAAAGAATTGAAAAAGGTATCTTAACCTAAAAGATTCTTTTAAGTATTTTATTTAACATGCAACACTAGAAATAACCTAGGAACTCCATTATGTTGATCCAAACCAAATATGGTTCTATATCAAATAGGATACAATTTCTTAGATACCTTAAAAAAAGGTAAACAGTTAGATATGTCCAGATTTGGCCTTTTGAAGGATAATGAAAATTCACCTCTGATTATTCAAAAACATACTAATATTTAAGAGTACAATGGTAACAACAAGGTAGAGCTAACCATTAGAACTTCGTGGTTTAATCTGCGTTGCACGCCCCAGCTTTATATTCTTGTTGTCTGCATCCAGTTTTTTCATGGCTTTCTGTTTCTCTAGATTCTCTGGGGTAAATTTCATCAACCGATCCACAGTAACCCATTCATCCCAGCTGTCAGAACAAGGTTCATGTTACTTACAATTCATAAGTTAGTAACTTAGACGAGGACACCATCAATAAATGGTAAACTTTAAGAATATTCCATCTTCTCAACTGAATCTTTCAATGTCCCTACCATGTCTAGAAATATTTAATCATATCTTAAGAATATTCAGTTACTGAGTTACATGATCAGTGGTACTATTAACAAGCCTTATAATTCTTCTAGAAAGGCAAAATGAGTGAGGTACATCATTGGATAAATTAAATAACAGGACATTCTGAGGTCCAAATATTTGTCTGTTCAAACACAAGCAGCTGGGGACAATCTTTGCACAATGACAACAGAGGGTTTGTATAAATTTTGGGGTATTTGCAGCACTGTGTCTACTCTTTTTATAAACGAATTAAATGTTAAAAAACAATTCAGCAGCTATGCAGTATAACAATTTTGCGTTAGCATGGAGATTTCATATCCTGTTAATGTTATCACGTATAGATTTCTGCCCCACTTAAATTTTTCAACATCATTCAACCATTAAGTGATAGTTTACTCACCGAAAAGTGTTACTCTTAAAAGTAACTACCATACACTAGGAACTACAGAAATAAATTAAATTGGACATGCAACAATCACATCCAACCTGAAAAAGGGAAGAAAAAAGCATGACTATAAGCAAGTGAAAAGAACCTGAAGACCACCTACAGCTCGAAAAAAAGCCCCAATCTGTAGCATCAGATTGCAAGCTGAAAGAAGACACACTCACCTTTTATTCCACCCCTGCAAAACATAGAGAAAACCCCATCAATATAACATATCCAGGAGAATGTTAATGCACCCACAATTCCAACAATGAAGAACACTCATCAATGCACCTAAAGAAAAGAAACCAATTTAATCCGATTTTCAAACTTACAGTGTAATGCAAAAAATATCTCCAGTCCTTCAACAGGTATTCAACTTTGATCACCTAGTATACGCCACAGAAGAATCAACATTTCCAACATTAGCAGAATTTAATGATTGAAATTTGAATGAGAAGGAATTACTTTCATGAAGAAGTGGAAAGGGGGGAGAAAGAGTACCTTGGCTTCGTAAATCCTTTTCTTGAAATAAGCGAGGACCTTTTCGCCTTCCACAAAGGGGCTGTTATTGGTGGCGGGGACGCGATCCTCATCGGTCTCCGTTTCGGAGTCGAAGTGCGTCTTGGTGGTGGTGGCGTCGTAGGATTCGGCGGCGGAATCGTCGTTCAAAGCGGCGTTGGACCGTCCCATCTTCTTTAGCAGGTGGGATCGGGTGATTTCACGGTTGATGATCCTAATTTTAGATTGCGACTTTCGCCGTGGATTATTCCGGCGAGGACGGAATGTCGTAACTGAAATTTAGTGGGTTTTCCGAGGGGTTTATTGGTTTTGACAAAACTTTTCTGACTAACGTGGCGCGTAAAAATTACGGGAAACGAAACACCATCCTTGATCCGGGTATATTCGGCCCATGGACTTATTTTCTAAACCCGTTGACCGTAACTTGGACTTATAAAAAAA